ATACGATGCCAGACTATCATAGAAGAGGAATACCACTAATTATGAATAATAATTTTGTGGACAGTGATTAAGGCCTAAAAGATAAATTTTCGTACGGGGGCATGATTTTTCGAAGCAAGTGGGTGGGGTTTAGGCGAAAATTTGCTACTTGTGTGCAGCTTCTTCCTAAGAGTTTCGCGGATTCCGCCCATCATCATCCTACGCACTTTTAAGGTCTGATATCCCTGTACATTACGAGCCTTTAGGACGGATATGAAATCTAAATGGCTGTTATCATTGCTAGGTCGAAGACGCCTTAGTAGACGTTCGCTCGCAAGGCAGTGACTCTCGCCTCTGCTCGATATTGGTCATTCTAGGGCGAATAACCATGAGATTTCGACGTTCTTAAGTATAAAAGCTCGGAATCATATTGTGTCTTACAGGAAACAAGACATGGCCTGTATAATTCTACTACATAAATTACCATCGAAATCCTAGCTGTGGAAGTCGTATTTTTTTCTTATTCTTTTCACAAACATCATGCATACTAAACATTAAGCTGTTGCCGCTATACGGCTGTGCAGGCCCTCTAAAAGTCCCTTCTCTCGCATAGAAGACTTCGGACTTCCGAATGATAATCGTGAAATCAAATACGGTTACTCTAGACTACGACACAGGCTTAAAGGTTACCCTGCGACTGGGCACGTACTACAACCATTCTATATATCATCATAGGCTGTCAAAGTTTCATTATTTCTCTGGCCCAGTCCAACCGCAATCGACCAACGTTCTACTGCTCCGGATGCGATAGACAGCGGTGACGAGAGACACGGCCTTAAAATACATCTGCGACTGCCAATGTAGATTACCCGGATTGCCGTTCTTCCACTAATGTTTAAGCCCTTAAATTGGGATAGCTAGTGGCTTGTGTTTGTTACAGTTCCTCTTATCAGCTCTGTAGCCTGGCGTGCACCATCTACGATGCGTGATCCCTGTCGTCGTTAGCACTTGATGGGCAGATCGTATACTTCGCACACATTCACGCTCATGCGATAGCAAAAAATAAATAATAATAAATATCTTTAATAATAACTTGCATGGTTTTAATTACAATAATACTCACATAGGTGCTGAACTATACGCATATCAGCGTGAATCTCCCAAGAACTAGCCGTCTATCAAGGTACCACCAGGTGGCGTGAGTGAGCAGTGCGAAGCACACAAGAAGCATGCATGTTTTATCCCACATGTGATACTCGCTCTCAGTTAACCTAATAAAGCACAGATAATTTCATTACACGCATTGCAAATATGCCTCCTTCATCAAATCAACTTATACATCGCTCCTACATTCACCACCTTTCACTTCGATGCAATTCACTTAGAGTATGTCCCTTACACAACATTGAGACCTCACCTGTACAGTTGGACAGCGCGGGTCTTTGTGCAATTCCCAACGTTATGGGTTCGGAGATCTCGAGTCGGTCCGATGTCCTCTCCAAGTGTAATTCATGTGTAGCATAGGCTGATCTGTGCCCGCCGCTTGGTTCGTTAATGCTCGCTATCGGCTCTGTGGCAGCACCATCGGTCGCACACAAATCATTTTCAGAGAATGCTGCCAGTGGTTCATACTCGTCTCTCAAGATTTGGGACGGGCCGGACGGATTCGGGAGAGAACATGCGTCGCAGCGCGCATGTGACTGTGTCAGATTACAGGCGAGGTGGTGACTGCTATTGATCTATCGTGCTCATGTAAACACAAATGTGCTATGAGATTGAATTTTACCATGGGTCACACGCCTGTCTTGGATTCAGCTCTTGGACATGCGTGGTGCGAGATCATTATCCGCTCTCAGCTCCAGAATGCCCAGTCAATAAACCACAGTCCACAAGTAAACAACTCGCCGAAACACCAACTTGTTTTCAACAATTATAAACCACAATAAAGCATATAATATTGTAGATTATTGTATTTACTCTGTAGCTTAGCACCAGTCATAACTCATATATCAAAATCCATCGTTGAAAAATATTCAATCGCAGTCGCGCATACACACACAGCTCACTGGCTTCGTGAGACAACACGGACGTATGTCTCAGAGTATGAGTGTCGCCCTCGGATTAAGCGGGGCTCCCTGCCGACAATTGAACTTCTCAATCTCACAGGCGTCTGCCAACTGTATCCGTCAACGCCTTCTTCCTAGCAGGCTTTTATCGTCAGTAGGGGACCTGTGAGTTCTGTAACAGGCAAAAAATACTGTTTTTGTTGTGGCATTTAAATAGTGGGGCCTAAGGGAGAGTGTTACATACAGGCATGAAAGAATTTTTTTCATAGAGAGCTATCAATCTGTTAACACCGAATCCCTGATACTATTTTGGCAGCTTTGCATGTGCTATGCTTTTACTTTTGGCTCAAAACCAGTATACTTACTTTATCATGTTCAGCCGAATTGGGTGCAAATGGTGAAACTGGTAGAAGCGTAATGGTGTGTACAAAAAGTTATTCTGTATTTTTTACATTTAGCTGAACTTACTAACATTGTGTAGATCCTCTCTGCTAACTAGCTACTCATGACGCTTTTTCCGACTACCGTTCGGCTGCACTCAAACGCCGTGCCCGCGTCGGTCTCGGAACGTCTTCCTGAAATCAGGAGTACTTAAGTTAAAGAAAACACTGCCGGGAGGTGCTTGTGACACCTCCTTGTTTGAGGACTCGCTTGATCATTCCCCATTTTTGTGGTGTCCGCCTTATGAGCAGAATACAATAGAGATTCCAGTACATGTGCTTCGACGGGCGATTTCGGCTTCATTGACAGTGGGATTTTTTCGTCTTATTGACGTTGCACAGACAGCGTAGTTTGGGGCCCGATTGCTGAGGCCGCATTGATAGTGGTCCGTTTTCCATTGGTAATTAAATGCGAGCATTAGCGCGATATGCCTGCCTGTGCGTGACTGATCTGCGCGCGCGAATGATCGCTTGACGACGGCCGTCTCACGCCTGAGACGCGCCGCCTCGAATCTTAATTTGCCTTTACTACAAAATTACATCATACGCACATGGATGTGTAATACGTATACACGAATAATGGCAATCGCATATTTCCTTAAGTGGTGACACTGCCAGCGAGGAAAGGAGGAGTAAGATTAATTCTGGTTCACTAGCCATGTTTCAGGGTCATGCAACATTCAGCCACCAGTAATGAACCACGAGCAGTGTAGATTTCCACATTGGCACTGCCATGGAGGAGACACACATTTTGTTCTCTACTGGCCTTCAATTATGCCAGCATGCTCTATATCGGGCCGCGCTTCACACTCGTACGTAAGAAATAGTGGTGACGCAGGCTATTAATAAAGCAGGGTACGATAGTTAGCGAAAATTCTTTGCCTCATGTCTAGACATGTTCGAGCCAACGACTATCCCGTGCCACGCAACGGGCCGAAGCATATCGTACGTCAAACATGACTTTAGCTTAATTTTACATATTATCACATGCATTTAATACAGCAGTATTTATTCAATCTTGCACAGTGTCTTCACAGGCGTCCCCTCTTTTGTTCTAAAGCTGCATTGCTTCTTGGAATGCGGGTTGGTGTTGTTGGAGCGCTGTTACGCAAAGTTCTTGACGGTGTTGGTGTGGTCAGGCTGGTTCTATGCAGAATCAAACAATCTCTTGGCCGATACTATATTCATATTTTAATTATTGCAGGTTGTACAGAAAGAAAAACTTCTAAGTGGTTTAGATAAACCAGGGGCTCCGACTTTTATACGGCTGGCCCGGCTGGCCAATTTGGCCACCTGAACCGAGACGTCGGCCAGCCTTGAAAGCTGTTGGCGCGGCTGGTGGCGGCCCCGCGTGGCCACACACACGTGTGGTGGCTACATGCGACCGGTCGCGACGAGAGCGTAGTCTACGCGTCCGGACATCCATCTCACACAGCAGATCTTGCGACACTTCAGGTCTTCATTTTAAGGGGTCCGCGATCGCGCTCGCGCTCCACGCGCGCACCCGAAATTGTGCCTATGGGGTGGCGCGCAATCAGTCGGCCTCATAGAAGGGTGGTATGAAGTGCTCGCGCGACACCAAAGTTGTCTGTATTATTGTGTATGATATTAAGCGCTGCAATTTAGAGTTCCAATAGTAGGAGTCGGGTTACAATAAAGTGTTAGGCAACACACAAACACTGTGTGGGTTTTAAGCTGACTGACGTATAGCGAGGTACAGGTCTGTTACGTACGCCCATGGGTGTTGCAGGGCGGGGGGGGTCGCGAGGGTCTACGACCCCCCAAAATTTTAAAAGGTCCACATTCTTTTCAGCCAAGACATTCTTTCTCTTTTTCTGCGGCCTTTTTGTACAATGACATAAATGAATGGAAGATCCTCATGTACCAGCGACGCTAACGTGTCCCACACTATTTCGAGACCTTGCAGTTGACGGCTAGGAAAATCACTATCATAAATATCCAGCACATTTCTGGAAACTGGCCTTTTTTCTAATAACTAAGACAGATAGAAGGAGACAAAAAAGTTACAAAAAACGTTTTGGTCAACGCATGAAGTCAGAAAACTTTTTGTTGTGTCATTAAACTTTTGTATATTTTTTTTTTTTTGAATACATAGCGCAGTGCAACGTCGAGCTCATTTATCTGTTTTTCTCTAAAGTTTTGTTCGCAAGATTGGGTTCGGTGTTCACGGGGGGCGTCAGCCGGGGTCCGTAACCCCCCATTACTTGGCTTCGCCGCAGAAAAATGCGAATATAAGGGAGCGTCTAAGACTTGTTCAAAAAGTGTTTCTGGGGGGGAGGGGGCCCGCCAACCCCCCCTTTTCGCGTTTTGCTTCCAAGTTTTTTTTCGGTTGACGGTTTTTTAGGACCCTCCGCTCTGGTCGCAATCCGCTGTGTAACACGGCCCCTTGATTTTGTTTATTGATTGGTACACTGTGACACCGAGGCATTTCTGTGGGTAGCATACGCTCGTGGTGTGAGTAAATTAATTCTATCAGATTTTTACCATGCATCACGTCGCTGGTCAGGCCTGCGGCGGGGTTCAGCTCAAAACGTATAAAAACCGCGACCGAACCGCTGAATCTATTGCAACAATGTCAAGGTCGACCAACGTCGGCACAGCGCGCATTCGCTCCATACTTAGGCCGCGATAGGCACGGATTCGGGGAGATCGTCGCGCGATGCTGAGCAGCGAAGTGAATATTTTATATCAAGACTTTTACTGCACAGCTGCTGTCAGCCTGCCCGGTTCAGGTTCGAAACGCTTATAAAAAACGCCGAGGAAATTACTATTTGCCAGTTGCAACCGTCGCCGAACGTTGATCAGAGCTCGCGATTCGCCCATGATACGATTAGCCATAGCTGGGATTCTGGGAATCGTCTCGCTGATGCCTAGAGAGCGCGAGTGAATATTTTTATATCAGCATTTTACCATGCACACGTGCGTGTCAGCCTTGGCCGGCTTCAGTGTCGAAAACGTATAAAAAACGGCCTGAAGCGAAAGTCTGTGTGTGCTGGTCGACCAACGTTGGCAGCGCCATCGCCCATACATTAGCATAGGCTGGATTCGGGAATCGTCCCGCGCGACTGCTGAGAGCGAAGTGAATGTTTTATATCAGATTTTTAGCAATCACACGTGCGTTTCTCCTGCCCCGGTTCTCAGTCGAAACGTATAAAACTGGTGTCCCTTGAAAATTCTATTTGCCATTGGGCCGCGCAACAAAAAAGCGCGTCTCAAGAGCCGGCGGAGCGCGGGGGTATGTCCAAAATTATTGACTTCACGACCACCAGAAGAAATCCCTGGATACACCCTTAACCTCTGGCTTTATAGTATTATAGTAAATACACTAAACACAGCATCGCAGAAGTACAGTACCTATAACGTAGCCACAAGTACCTCGGCCTCGTTTTCTACTATACGTGGCGAGAAGTGGTTTGTCTGCCGACGGTGAACAGTTCGTTAGGGACTGGAGGGGCTACTACGTGGCTACTTACGATTACAAGTTAATTTGGCTATTTGTTGATGGATTGCTGGATGATATTTTGTGGCTGAAATATGCAGGTATGGATTAGATCTCTAAGGGATGGAAAGTCAGAATTAAATTAACAAGCAAGTTTATTTTTACATCGATCAACTCTTTTATTAGTCTGTGTGTAGTGTTGCGGTTGTTGGATCGAAAAATGTAATCCTGACGAAGCCATTGATGATCATGAAGGTGAAGATGAATGATAATCAAAAAAAAAAAAAAAAAAAAAAAAAAAAAAAACAAAAAAAACAAAAAAAAAAGAAAAAGCTAGAATTACATGACATCCAATTTTCATTTTGGATTTCACTCTAGACCTGAGGATTGGTCATGATCCATTGCATCACACCGCAAGAGCATGATAGAGCAGCCCTCAGGAGCTCTCCATCATCCCTTTTAAAGTGATGATTTCTTAGTCCGCCCAAGCCCTCCCATCATGTCCTCTTAGGGTTGATTTTTTACTGGAGCCCTCTCATCATGCCTTTAAGGGGTGTGATTATGGGAGCTGGTGAAAAAGTCCCCTATGGTGTCCAGGGGTCATTATAGTCCGCCTGTACTTTTCAATCTGAGAAAACCCTGCGGTCACTCACGCATGATTACGACAAGCTGATATACGCTCTGCCTGGATTGCCAAGTGGGTGTGTCCATATGCTGTGTGCGCCGGTGGCGTGTGCCGTGTGTTACGCCGCGCGCGCGTGTGGTGTGTGTCGTGTGTGTGGTGGCTGATGTGCGCGGTTGGGAGGCGCGCGTGTGTGTGTACGTGTGGTTTACTGGAAGCTGATTTCGGAGAATGTCAATTCGCAACAGCAACAATCGGCTTTACTTGCTAAAGTCAAAACATTAGTGCCACCTGCCAATCCATTCGTACCCATCAGCTGTGGCGTGTTGCGTTGTGCAATTCATTTCTCACGGTTCAAGACAGTGAGTACATACCAGAGGTATGTTATAGAGCAGGGGTGTGAGGGATGATACGGTTGTAGCGACAGGAAGCGTGTAGGTGGGAGTAGGGTGTAGGAACTGATACACTGTAGAGACGACGAGGGTGTAGGGAGGAGGGTGTAGGGATCGAGTACACGTAGCCAGCACAGGCGAGGGTGTAGGGGGCAGCGGGGTATGTAGGATGATACACTGTCAGAAGACAGGGAGTGTTAGGGGGAGGGGCTGTAGGGATGGATAACTGTTAGAGATCAGGGAGGAGGTGTAGGGGGAGCGGGCGTAGGGATGATACCACTGTAGAGGACAGGGAGGGGTGTAGGGATATACACGTAAGAGACTGGGGGGGTGGGGATGATACACTCGTAGGAGACAGGAATGCGTGTAGGGGGGACGGGGTGTGGATGATACACTGTAGATACAGGAGAGGGTGTCATGCGGGAGGGGTGTAGGCATGATCACACTGTAGAGAAAAGAGAGGTGTAGGGGGGAGGGGTGTAGGGATGATACACTTGTAGAGAATAAGGAAGGGGGGGGGGGGGGGGTAGGGGGGGAGTGTAGGGCATGATACACTGTAGTGAGACAGAGAGCGGTGTAGGGGGAGGGGTGCTAGGGCATGATACACTGGTATGAGGGGAGGAACCCTCACGCAACCACCACCCGCGCGCAGTCAGCCAGTCTGCTGAGAGAAGGAGAAGTGAGAGGGGAGGGGGGAGGGCGAGGGACAAGCCTGCACCCCCAAACGCCGCGTGCTGCCGCGGGCCGCCATCCAAAAAAATAGAAAATAAAGAATAACCGCCGGGCTGGCCGACGAGGCGTGTAGGGGGAGGGGGTGTAGGGATGATTACACTCGTAGAGACATAAAGGGTGTAGGGGGGGAGGGGGGTGTAGGGCATGCATCACTGTTAGCGAACGAGGGAGGAAGTGTAGGATGATACCTGTAGAGACAGCGAGGGTGTAGGCCGGTGTAGGGATGTAGAAACATAGACCAGCAGCTGAGCAGACTCTGATGGATTCTGGACCCCAGTGTCAGAATTGATTTATGATTTCAATAGAAGTCCTTCAGATGACGTCACACTTGACATTGAATTGATTGAAGCGACAGTTATGACATTGACATCCTTAATGACATGATTCTGCTACTTATAAAGATACCGGCAGAGGGATTTGTAAGCCTTTTTAATATTTGGAAACTTATTAGACTCAGTAGTCAGGGTTTTGTTTCTTTCTTGTTGTTGGTTCGTATTCTAGTTATGTTATTTGCGATTATTTTGCCAAAAAACAACATGTACCCATAGTTAGAATACAAGATAAATTATTTAATAAAGTGTAGCAACGGGGCCACCCGACAGTTTCAGGTGGCCCGACGCCGTTTCAGGTGGCCATTGGCACCCGGGCCACCGTTAAAGTCGAGCCCTGGTTTATTAAACCACTTAAGTTTCTTTGTATTATACTGCAATGACTTAAAATATGAATATATTTCGCAGGATTGTTGATTCTGATAGAACGCAGCTGACCACACCAAAAGTCAGGAGAACTTTGCTTGAACAGGCTCCAAAAACTCCAACCCCATTCAAGAAGGCAATGGCAGCTTTAGAACAAAAGAGGGGACCTGTGAAGACACTGGTGAGATGAATATACTGTATTAAATGCATGTGTAATATGTAAAATGAACCTGAAGTTCATGTTACCTACTTGCTCGCCTTGCAGTTGTCATGCAGAAATTTATACTGCTCTGGTTCACCACTATGCTTGATGTGAGGTGTGCGTGGCCTATAACATGCTGTTATGTGAACCAGAATTAGAATGTGTGTCTCTCATGGCAGTTGCCATGTGGAAATCTACACTGCTGTGGTTCATTACTGTGCTGAATGTCTGCATGACCTGAAACATGCTGTGAACCAGAATTACATCTTACTCTCTTTCCCTCCTGGCAGTTGCCATGCAAAAATCGATGCATTTCTTCGTCATCGCTGCGTTTGATGTAAAGTTTGTGTGCATGGTGTGAAGGTCGTTCGTAGGCATCGATCGAGCAGGCAATGCCATGCTCATTTATACCATTGACCTTGCAGCCATGCGGTGCCACTCGGCTGGACGACATAGAGGAAATCATCAGTGGCGACGCGTCAGCTGGTCGGATCTCTTTGTTCGGCTCTATAGGGGAAACCACAATGGGGATGATCAAGCGAGTCCCAAACAAGGAGGTGTGACAGCACTCGCAGTGTCTTCAACTAGAATCTTAATAGAGTCACCGCAACCGTTGTGCGAGTAGCGGAAGTCTAGTACTAGTAGCGGATCTACAATGTTATAGTTCACAATGTAAAATCATTTGTAACATATCTACAGTTCTATCTTTACAATCCTGACATATAAAGTAGTATATGGTTTGAAGAAAAATAAAAGCAATAGAATCAGTTCAAAATAGTTATCAGGGATTGTGTAACAGATTGATAGCTCTCTATGAACAAAAATTCTTTCTGCATGTATTACCACTTCTTAGCCCCCTTATTTAAATCCACAACAAAACAGTATTTTTTGCTTGTTACAGAACAAGTCCCCTATGAAAAAAGCACGGAAGAGTTTGACGGATAAGTGGTCAACTCCTGGTGAGATTGGATTCAATTCGCAGGACACCTATCCAGGCATCATACTTGAGACTCCGGTGTGTTCACGAAGCAGTTTTGTGATCCTCCATATTATTTTCACATGATTTGATATATGAGTAGACTGGTGTAAGCTACAGAGTAAATAACAATAATCTACAATATTATATTGTTTTATTGTGGTTTATAATTTGTTGAAAAAAGTTGGTTTGCAGTTTACATGGGGACTGTGTTATGGCTGCATCGTGCTACATTATTGCACCATCTAGAGATCAAGGTTGACGTTCATGCAAAGCTTTGTGTTCTACAGAGCAAGATGCTGCAGACTCCGCCTGACACATCACTCATGTTCTCTCCGCCGTCCATCTTGAGAGACAGTATGACCACTGGTCAGCAGTCTCTGAATGATGGCTTTGTGTGCGACGATGGTGTGGCCACAGAGCCGGATAGCAGCATAACGAACAAGCGGCGGCGACACAGTGAATCACTGGGAAGCCAGCACATCGAGTCTCCTACTGTGGAATTGCCAACCGTCGTCAAGGTAAGGCATTCTTGTTGTGAGGCACTAGTGAATGCATGAAGTGAAATGGTGGTGAATGTAGGGCGATTGTAGTAAGTTGATTGTGAAGGTAGGGCACATTTGCAATGCGTGTAATGAATTTCTGTTGCTTTTATTATGTTAAATGAGGGGATACACATGGGGAAAACAGCTGTCTGGTGTCCTATTCTCAACTCCATGTGTACTTGATACCTATTTGATTGCCCTGATTGTTAATCAACTTGTAACTTTTTTTTTTAAACATATTTATTACATTTTTTTTTTTTGTATAGTTGAGCGTTGAGTGGGAGAAAGTTGCCTGTGGCAAGACAAAGGATCAACTGGAGATGGTGGAGCAGGCTAAGCAGTGGATAGAGGAAGTAAAACCACAGCCACTAATCCATTAAGGTTTAAACATGGTGGTAGAACCATCTGGGTCATCACATGCATGCATGTAAATTCCGTCACAGCTGTTCCATCGGAGCAGTAGATTTGGCGAGAATATGAAACTTTGCAGCATGTTTGTGTATAGATGGTGTGAGACTGCCCAGAGCAGGGTATTTTAATCTGCGAGCTAGACTGGATTTGATTACATATCGGAGTCGAGTTTTATGCAAAATATTTTAGCTGCACATGTCCGTTTAAGGGAAGTAATGTTATTATGTTTGTGAAAAGAAAAGAAAAAATACGACTTCCAGTAGGTTGAGGTGAGTTTGAGGAGAATATATAGCCATGTCTTGTTTTCTCTGTAACCACAATGATTCGGTTTTTCTAAGCAAATTCATGGTTAATCTGCCCTGAATACAATAAATGTCATGAGTCACTGCTTGAAGTAACGTCACTAGGTCTTATAGCAATGATCACATTTGATTTCATATCCGTCTTAATGGCTGGTATGTGATATCAATACTAAGCCCAACTTTAGAATATGACAATTAATATTTTCGCTAAACAGTCCAATTCTTCAAAATCATGCCGACGAAAATTTTCTATTGGCCTTCACCAAATTATTTTTTCTTGTTATGTCCTCTTTATGAATAGTGCTTATGTATAATTTTTATGTGTGGAGGAAATGGCAAAGATTTGTTTACGTGCTGACCAGTTGCTGGGTAGCTACAATCAATAAATCATTTGCAGGTGGGCTCATGTCAATATTATAGAACTTGAGGCGATAGGCACAGAGCAGTGATTTCATCACATGTTGTTTGGCATTAAGCAGTGTCATTTAATCGAAGAACAGCCGCGAAACCATGCTGTGCACATGGAAGCGTACTGGGGTGTGATATAGGCTTGCGATGGTAGCTCTCGCCTATATCACTCATAGCTGCTGTTATAGTGAAAGACTTACACGGCAGCATAATCTAAACTCTAAAACGCATGTATGTTTGAGGTTAGGATTATATTTACCAATCTGCAAATGTAAAATGAGCTACCAAAAATCGTGTATGGTAGACTGGTACATTCACGTTAGGTATTTAACCTGGCACTGTTTGAGTCCTTGGTCTATAATATTTCAGCGGTTTTGCAGTGAGTCTAGTGGAGATCCTGCTATTGCACTTCTCAGACAAATATGTGGTATAAAAAATGATTAATTGGTAATATCGTGTAAAATCGATTTAAAGGAAGTAGCATTCCCAGTCTACGATATGCACTTTTTAAAGGGAAATTTTTCACGCCATTGGAGTGATTTTAATGTCTATATATTCCTGTCGTATTTTATGCCGATCACCAATTTAAGTGGAACATTGAAAGGTGCAATAGTTGGAGTAATCAGACTCGTTGAGTGATGACTGCTCGGCTAGCTAACACCGCTTACAGTGACTTTTTGGATCTAAGGTGTGAAGTGGGGCAACCTGTGGAACACAAAGTCGCACTGATTTCCTGTGATCTCCTCCACTTAACTTTTAAGAATTGAAATGCGGAAGAATGCTTGGTTTCTCCGTGTTTCAGAGTTCCACCACTAGCACTGGACGGTTGAGAACTGTTCATCGCACTTACTGATATTGACTTGTCTCTTGAATATTTATTTATGTAGTTGTTTAGTTGTTGCATGGTTCCTTTTAGATACTGATCATGGGTGTGTAAAATTCTACCTGGATCTATGTTTGTGTTATCAGAATTCTGTTGATATATTTATGATGCTGGTTGTGTAAAGTAAATTAAGATGAAAGGTGAGTGCGTGTGTAGAATATTTGTAAATAGAAGGCGTGAGTCGAAGGACCGTCTTCCTCGACGTGCCTTAAGGAATATAAGTGTGCAGAATGTTTTGTTCACCAGTTTCATACGAAACAGCCTCGGTGCAACTTGGAAATTGCTATGCAATGCTGTCGAGCAATGAAAGAAGTCTCAGTTGCTCTCATAGCTGGGACGTGATGGAACATTGAATGTTCTGAGAGCGAGTTGGTTCTGTACACCTTAAGCCATTGGGCAATGGGGCGCTCCGTGACATGTGATTGCGATTGTGTGACTAGGGTACAGGAAGATTTGCTGCGGGTATCAACATAAATATTAATATTGCTAATTCACTTCTATCCATCCTGTGTACGTGAGAGTGTGCATGCCTGTAAGTGTATATCTGCATGGATCCATGCATATAATTTGTGTGCACTCCTTTTGGGTAGTAGTAGGTTAGTGTATAACTATACAGTTCTACTCTGTTGTCTCTTATATTATTCTGTTTCCTGAGCATTTCGTAGGCCTGTGTTTAACAAACACCAAAGCTGTATTTGGTTGTCTATAAAGCAAAACAGAAAAGTGCTGCAAGCAGCCACAATAGAATCCACATGAGTGCATTTGTGACAGGTACCTTCCACTAGTCAAGACTGCATGAGTTTCACTTATCAATGCTGGGGTTACAGTCAACTGATCCGCAGCCATTACTGCTGTTGTGAACACACCTTACTGATGTCATGTCGCCCATTTGATTAGTGTCATGCACGTGGCTAGGTGAAAGAGTGACTGAGGCAAAATAATTTTTATTTAAGTAGCTCAAAGCTTTTGATCGCCTACTGGTTTTTGATACCTAGGTTATTCAAATTAATATAAACTATGGCGTCAGCCTAGCTGAATGCTGATGTCAAAGTATTCATTATTGTAGCAATTATATATGCACAACCATGGTGACCACTCCACAAGGCCACATAGATGCGGTCTTACTTTCCCCATGGGGCACATAGATGTAGTGATACATGCCATACCAATCATATATTCGTACAGTAAATGGGCAATAACATGTAATTAAAACTGTAATTCTGTGAGGTCTCCTGCTCGTTTGAACGAGAATGAACAATAGTTACTTGAAAAGCATAGGTGCCCTTCCCTCGCGGGCTTAAAGACTTCAGGTGACAACAATTTATTATGTAGTTACCTCCTATGTTCTACTTGTCAATAAGAGAACCCTGACCACCATCACCATTAGACGTTCGTGTGATCTCGTTGGCCCCATCAGATGTACGAAAAATTCCTATACGTATTGGTGATGGTCGGAACTTGCACAACAAACCGGAAAATTGTATGGAAAGTATTTTTACAATATGTTCACATTTTTATATAAAATTGTATTGTAATGTGTTCGTTGTGAAAGCGAATATATGTATGCGGCAGAAAATTATGGGTAATTGTGTAGGTTTTGCATCTATTAGGCTCAAATAAAAGGGTGAAAAAACATTTTTTTTCCTTTCTGTTATATGTATAGTCACTATAGTGTCATAGGAATACATTCAATTCGTATCTGTTTACAAATTCTTCGTACACAGAGGAATAATTGCTATACACTACGCTACTACGTACGTAATACACTTAATAATTGGTATATGCACCCATAAAGATGAGCATGAAATTTTGAGAAACGAAACTACCTATATTATATATTCTGTATCAAAGAAAAAAATATCGACCGTATACAGTGCAAAACTGCTGCCGTCTAAATTCTATTCATAGATTTATATTTCTACATCTGGTATCATATATTATATAGTGTCATATTTCTACATCTCGAAGACAAACCAATCATGCCAATTTAAAGAGCTTTCCACCAAAATGGTGAATTAAACCGGAATATAGCAACGTATTTTACATCTATATATACAGTTCAGACAACGGTCAGTTTATATAAATTAGCTTGTAATATATACTAACCCAAGCTAAATTGATGCACTATCATATTCATAAATGTCATGCGCCAACCCAATTCTTAATAACGAAACGTGCCTTATGCAGTTCTATCATTCAAAGAACTCATATATCCATTGAGACATGCCACGTGTACAGGCACTTGGAGCGTTTCAATAAAATATAATGCTAAATAAATACGAAATCTATTTACTACCAAAGTCTTAAGCCTCGTCTACACGACGACGCTTAACTCGAGTTAAGCGTCTACACGGGGCCTTAACTCGAGTTAGCTTAACCTCGCCAGTCGATCGAGGTTAAGCTAACTCGAGTTAAAGTGATTACGTCACGAATTTCTAGCACCATCAAGTAGTATATTTGTGTGTTATTTGTACAAAATAAAATGTATGATAATACAATTAGTGTTTCTGTTTACTTTTCATGCTTATATACCTTCTTTATATGCCCTAATTTGCCGGGGGAAAACAGAGAGACGCCAGTATCTGAACAGTACTGGGGAAATAGTGTTAGACAACAGAAATTACCAAATCGTCTAGATTTTTGCAAATTTAACCAACGTAAAAACATTTTTATCAGGTGAGAGTTTGAG